TATATATATATATATATTGAAATGATATATTTAAGAGTATTAATAATAATTTAATTAATTTTTTTAAGATATAAGAATTCGTTGTTGAAAATTATAATATTACAACGAAATATTACTTTAAATTTTGTTTATAATTTTTTATATATTATAAATAGACACATAAAAAGATTTCTTTCGAATCCTTCATAGGTATAATTGATCGTACAAATCGATCAATTATTATATTGAAATAATGACTTATTTATTTGTAAAATATATTAACTTTGATGCTTTTCGTGAAAATATAATTGTTAAATGTTTGTTAATTATTATTGACAATCGACAAACTAGGATGATCATGTTACTTTAAATAAATGAAACATAAGTAACAATAAATTAATATTAATTTCTGTTCAATTAAAAAATTTTGTTCAATCTTTTCATATTTGATTTTATTATTGTAAAATATATTTGAACTCAAGGAAAATAAATACAATTGTGGATGACATCACAATGCTATCATCTTGCTTTCAAATATTACTTCTGGAAATTAAATTAAAGGAATTAAAAAAATTAATTTTAGTTTAATGATTTTTTATCAAAAAAATTTAGTTTAATGATTGGGTTAATATGTAAAATGTCCATGTATATTTAATATTTAAATATACTCTCTTGTTTTAAATTATTGGGTTCTTTTTTTATTTTCACATAATATAAAAATTTTTAATTTTAGTATATTTAATATTAAAATTTATTTTTTATAAAATTAATGTTTCAGCTTTTTAATATTAGAAAATAAAAAATAAAAATTAAATTCAAAATAAAAATTAAATATTAAAAAATAATCTAAAAATATCTCAAAAAGTTAAAAATAATATCACGAATTATTTTTGAATTATAATAAAATATTGAATGTGATACTTAAATAAAATTTTTTAATAAAATATCTAATTAAATTATAAATTTTTTAATAAAAAATGTATAAAATTTTTTCATCGATCTCATTTTCTTATTTAAAATAATTATATTAAAAATAAGTGTCACATAATTAAAAAATATATAATTCAAATATTACATTAAAATTTTTAAAATTTATATATCATATTAAATATTTAATTATAATTAAAAAATTATTAGTGATACTAACTAAAAAAATAAAAAAGGAGGAATAATATATAATTATCTATACAACTAGAATCTTAGTATAGAAGAGTTTTCAACATATTTTAATATGTCGATAATATTAGAAAATTTTTTCCACATAAAATTTCTTTAAAAATTATTACTCAAATTTTTTTTAAAATTTTATTATTGAAAATCATTTTTATTTTCCTATAATCAAGGTAATGCACATGAGATGTAAATAATGAAACATAATAATAGTGCATAATATGTAAATATTTATTTATTCATTTTTATTCATATGTTTTTTAAAAAAGGTTTGTTTGTTGACTTTTTTTATTTTAAAATCCTATTTATGAGTAGAAGAAAATAAACGCATTTTTATATTGAATATTTTTATAAATATTTCAAAATTTTAGTGTTATTAAAAAAATCTTTGCATTTGAAAAATTCATAAGAATCATTATTTAAATTTATTTACAATCTCATTATAAAAAAATTCTTCCCTTCTTTTTTTATTTATTTAGGAAAATTTCCTTTTTTGATAAAGTATAAATAAGTTGAATTTATTGTTTTGAAAGCTAAAAATTATCATTAGAAACAGTATTTTATTTTCTAAAAGATATTAGATATTTATTTAAAAATTTAAAATTTTAAAATATGCATAAACTATAAAATGAATAATTAATAAAAATTTGACATACAGTTACAGTTATATAAACAAATAAAATATTTTTAAAATAAAAATAATATCAATAATTATGAATAAAATTTTAAATATATAATCTCAGACTTAGTAATTTATGGTATTTATTTTATATTAAATACATATGAAATATAAAAATTATTATATCATAATTAATTATTAATGTGTTTAACATAAATATATATTTTTATTTTTTTAAAATTTATATTTTAATTTTTATTAAAAATTTAAAATATATTACTTGTATTTTCATATGTTTTTGTATTATATTATTATATTGAATCTGCAACTGTAACGTACACTTGTATAAAAAGCATACAGGTGAGACAGAATATTTCACACGCTTGATGTAACCTATCAATCGTAAAATCCCAACCTTATCTCCTTTTTTTTTTTTCTTAATAATAAACATAAAAAATATTATAAAAATAATTGGAAATAAATGCATTAATATGCTAGTTGGCATAGGATTCTTCCCATCCTAAATTTAATTGTCCATACATATCTATACAATATGGTTGTTGGTGTAGCATCAAGATGAAAGGGACATGACGGAGTCAGATGTGACTCATCACTACTTAACTTTTATGGAGACTTCACGCCAAGGCTTCTACAATCACTCTGTAATAATATAAGATATTATTCAAACTAAATATAATCACTCTCTACTCTACAGTGCGTTCTTTTTATTACTCTTCGCCCCTACCCTGAACCAATTTCACCGAGCCCTTTCACTTGAGTCTGAGCACCCTTCTTTCCATTGTTTGCGTTCACTTCTTTTGATCTTCTTTAAATTTCCTTGTCAAAAGCAAAAAGAAAAAAAAATGGCCTGGGCTCTGGTAGGTGGAGCTTTTCTCTCTGCTTCCCTCCAAGTTATTTTCGACAGGTTGGCTTCTCGTCAGTTCTTGGACTTCATTAGAGGAACGACATTCGAAGATGGTCTTCTTAAGAAACTGAAGCCAACGCTCATGTCAGTTAATGTAGTGCTGGGTGATGCTGAAAATAAGCAGATTACCAACCCATATGTCAGGAGCTGGATCGATGAGCTCAAAGATGTTGTTTATGATGCGGAGGACCTCCTCGATAAGATCGATGGAAGTCACTTTTCTTCTTCTCCCAGTCCCAATCCTTTTGAAGAGGGGATAGAGTCAAAGCTGAACGATATCATTGGGAGACTGGACTATCTAGTCAATCAAAAAGATATCCACGGTTTGAAAGAAAGTTGCGGAGGAGAAAAGGCATTCCAAAGATCACCTGCAACTTCTTTGGTGGATGAGTCTGGTGTTTATGGCAGAGATGATGAAAAAGAAAAAATAATAAAGTTGTTGATCCCAGAAAATCCAACTAAAAATCGGATAGATGTGATTCCAATTGTGGGTATGGGCGGGGTTGGTAAAACCACCCTGGCACAATTGATCTACAATGACAAGAGAGTGAAGAAATCATTTGATCTCCGAGCTTGGGTGTGTGTTTCAGACGAATTTGATGCTGTCAGGGTAACCAAAACTATTCTTGAAGAAATCACTTGTAGCTGTGATGGTAGTCAGAACTTAAATCAGCTTCAACTGAAACTAAAGGAGAAGCTGTTGGGAAAGAAGTTTCTATTTGTATTGGACGATGTTTGGAACGAGAAATATGAAGACTGGGAAGAGCTGAGAAGACCTTTCACTTCTGGGGCAAAAACCAGCAAAATTATCGTAACAACACGTAGTGAAAGTGTTGCAGACATTGTGAGGAATGTTCAAACTAATCCTCTTGATAAATTATCTGATGATTATTGTTGGAAGTTACTTGCAAAACATGCATTTGTTGATGGAAGCCCAAGCATGCATCCAGATCTGGAGGTAATCGGTGAAGCCATTGCCAAAAGATGCAAAGGCCTCCCTCTAGCAGCAAAAGCACTTGGAGGTCTTCTGCGTTATAAAGAAGCTGATGAATGGAAGGAAATATTACAGAGTGATTTGTGGAACAAACTAGAAGAGGAAGGTACTACTATTCCTTCATCTTTAAAATTAAGTTATTATTATCTTCCTTCACAGTTGAAGCGCTGCTTTGCATATTGTTCTATTTTTCCTAAAGATTATGAATTCAAAAAGGAAGAACTCATTCTACTATGGATGGCTGAAGGTCTTTTGCAAATTTCCAAAAAATATGGCAACGCAGAAGGTAACAAATGCTTCAAAGATTTAGCAATCAGGTCATTTTTCCAACAATCAAAGGAAAAATCTTGCTTTGTCATGCATGACCTAATTAGTGACTTAGCTAAATCTATATCTGGAGAATTTTTTTGCGGATTGGTAGGTAGTGGTGGTGGTTCTTGTGAAATAACTGAAAAGACTCGTCATTTGTCCTATATCCCAGAAAGATATGATATGAGTGGGAAATTTAAGACATTATCGAGAGCAAAAAGTTTGCGAACATTCCTTTCCATTAACCCACCTGCATCGGATTGTTATGTTACCAGCCAACTGCTTGATTTGATAACAAATTGTAGATGCTTGCGGGTACTTTCTTTGGCTAATTATTATAATATCATTGAGTTGCCAGACAATATTTGCAATTTAAAATATTTGCGATATTTGAATTTATCCAAAACTAAAATTAAATGTTTGCCGGACTCTTTGAGTGCATTGTACTGTTTGCAAACATTAATATTGTTCAGATGCGTAGACCTTGTTAAGTTGCCCAAAGATATGTGCAAATTGATCAACATGCAACATCTCGATATTAGGGGCACAAGTTTAATAAGAATGCCAGAAGGAATGGATAAGTTGAAAGATCTTCGAACATTAACAGATTTTGTTTTGGGCGAGCAAAATGGTTCAAGCATTAATGAGTTAGGAAAGCTCAAGCATCTACATGGAAGACTTGCCATTTCAGGTTTAGAAAATGTTGCCTGTGAAAGGGATGCCAAAGATGCCAATTTGAAGGATAAGAAGGACCTTAAGGAGTTGGAGTTGCTGTGGAGTTCAGGTCATGATATTGATGATACAACACGTGAAAGAGAAATACTTGAACAACTGGAGCCCCATACAAACTTGGAGCGTCTTGTCATTAGTTATTATGGAGGTACTGGATTCCCGGAATGGGTGGGGCGTTCTTCATTCTCACATGTGGTATCTGTGGAGTTAAGCGGCTGTAAATATTGCTTGTTCTTGCCACCGCTTGGGCAATTATCATCTTTGGAATCTCTCTCTATTTCAGGGTTTCTCAAAGTAGAAACAGTCGGTGATGATAATAATGGTTTCTACGGGCCTTGTGATGCATCGAGGAAACCATTTGGATCTCTTAAAACTTTAATCTTTTCAGATATGCCGGAATGGAAAGAATGGAGGCTTTGCTCGAGAGATGATGCTTTCTCTAGTTTGCAAGAGCTAAGCATAATAAAGTGTGGCAAGCTAACCAATTTTCTGCCCAAGCACCTCCCATCTTTAACGAAACTTCGGATTGAACGATGTGGAAATCTTCGTGGCTTGCTTCCTAGTGCACCAAGCATTTGCAAACTTGAGTTATTGGGTTGCGATGAATTGCAATTGGGGTCATTGCCTTTTGGGCTTCGAGAGTTGGATATTTGGAATCCGGATATCAATGATTCCCAAATGGAGCGGATGATGGAACACTGCACTCTTCTTGAAAAGTTAACTATGTCTTATTGTTCTAATCTCAGATCCTTTCCTGAAGGTATCAGGCTGAAGCAATTGAGAATCTATTTTGGTGTCTTGGATTGTTTCAAAATCCCCTTGTATAAATCCCTTGAATCCTTGGAGATAGAAGGCGGAAGGTGTCGTCCCCTAGAATATTTTCCATTAGGATCATTTCCTATGCTAAAAAGTCTTTCTTTTCAGAGTTGTGACGACTTGAAGTGGATTGGTTCATCATCAGAGGGGCCTCACCACCAGCATCTCGCATGTCTCAATACTTTGCGAATCAATAGATGCCCTAATTTGATATCTTTTGAAATATCTGCCACCAATTTAAGGAGACTTATGCTTTCAGATTGCCAAAATTTGAAGTCATTGCCAAAGCATATGCACTCCCTTTTCCCATCCCTGGAGCAATTGGAAATATCAGATTGTCCAGAAATAGGGTCATTAGCAGGAGAGGGCTTGCCCTCCAAATTAAAAACTATTTCTATGAGAAGAAGTGAAAAGCTGATTGTGAGCATGACGAGGGGGGAATGGAGTTTGAAGACACTCCCTTCACTTACACACCTCGTAATCGAGAGTGAAAAATTGGAGTGTTTTCCAGATGAACATCTGCTGCCCTCTTCCCTTGCTGATCTTGACATTTTTGGTCTTCCAAATCTTAAGCTTTTGAACAACGAGGGCTTTCAACGCCTCACCTCTCTTCGTCGATTGCATATCAGCCATCCTTCGGAGCACGATTACTTGAGGGGAACTAAGTTCCATTCACTTACAGTTGCAAACGAGCCTTTTCCAGATGAACATCAGCTGCCCTCTTCTCTTACCGACCTGAGCATATCTTCTTTTCCAAATCTTGAGCTTTTGGACGACAAGGGCTTTCAACACCTCACCTCTCTCCGCAAGTTGCATATCAGCCGTTGTCGAGCACTCAAATCCATGCCGGCACAGGGGCTTCCTGACTCCCTTTCTTTTATTTGGATTTACGGTTGTCCTATGCTGAGTGAACGTTGCGAGAAGGGGAAAGGTAAAGATTGGCCCATCATTTCCCGCGTGCCTGTCATTTTTATTGACAATAAACTCATTTCATAGCAATACTCAGAAGCCAAATTTGTCAACGTGTCCATTTGCCATTATTAACGCAATCTAACTCAGGGTCAGGTACTCCTTCATTTTCATTTTATTTAGCTACTTATATTACTTAATTATTTATTCTTTTTTCTTTCAAAAATTCTTAATTGATTGAAGTTTGTGGACTGTTTTCTCATTTTTTTCTTGAATTCTAATGCCAAATTCTTCATTACTTTTATGATAAAAGGGTTGACTATTGCTTAATTTGCTTCAAAATCTTTTATAGGCTTCCTGGATTCTTTTTTCTTTTTAAGAATCAATTGCTCTTTTTTCTTTTTAAGAATCAATTGCAAATTCCAGTTTATGGTTCTCATTAAAGCGTAGTTCCCTGTTGTATGATTTGCTTTATTCTAGAGATTAATGGCCTCATTTTTCTATCCCAGAATTATCTGCATGAAAGTTTTCAATACTTGGATGGATTGGCATCAAGCTCTGCAAACTTCACTTGAAAATTTGGTTTCTTAGAGTTGCAATGTTGATGCGCTCAGATTTTTTGTCAGTAAAGAATAAGGATTTCAACTCCTTCCTTCTCTTGTCACGAAATCAGTGGCAACCATATTTTTTAATCAGACGGACCAGAATTATCATGATGTGCTTATCATGATGAGTCATTGAGTCCAAGGACCGTTCCTTTTGAAAGAGCTCCGAGTTTGAAGGTTTTCGATGGTGGTAACTGTGGATCCCAACTTCCATAGGCATGTCCTTTGTGCACCTAAGCCATCTAGATTCCATCAAATTTTAGATTTCATTCGAAAATCTCCATTTCATGTGGTAAGGCTCAAATACATGACTTATGTAATTCCATTTAAATACATGGATTTGTAAAATTTCTCTTGAATAATGAATTCCATATACATCTTTTTATACTCTTTTAGTGTAATGACTACAATAGTCGGTGAAAAAGGAACAACAAATCAAATTTATAATTCACTCTCTGATACTTGTTTACAAATGAAAACATTAAGGTTCTAACACATCTTGAAATGGTAGGAATGGCTTTTTTCTGAAGACAATAAAGAATGTGGGGCATTCTCACATGTTGAAGAATGGTACTGTCATAAGCTACTCGACATCTAAACCTTTCAATGAACTTGAGAATAATGGAGGACAAGTTGTGGGTAAACTTTGAATTGCGGCAATCCATGAATTGAAGTTGATTGAATTTTGATTTGTTGCCTTTTGAGAGACTGCTTTGTGGTCTGCACGAGGTGAAAATTAGAGATTGCAGTACTCCCAGCTCAAGGAAGTAGTATAGTGTCATTCAATTGAAGAGGTGGATAGCTCCATAATTCACTCTTATGTTGGCTGTCAATTGTTTAGTCATCACTGAGGTGCATTATTTCTCTATTTTTGTATAGCAATTTTAAAATTTATTGAATTGGAGTTCTTCAATCTTCGTAAAGAGGGAAAAAAAAGTACTTGTTGAGTATTGTTTTGGGTAGAACAAATCAAATATTGCAAATGATTTTGTGGCGTATTGTATTCATTTCAAGCACAATTAATGTAAATACTGATGATTTTGCCTTTAGATGGAATTAAATCTGCAACTGATACTTACTTTATGGCAAATTGCTTTACTTTCACGGGCTACCATCAACCTAGCTACTTTTGAGCTTTGTTGCAAATTCTAATTGATGATTGCCATCAAAATGAAGTTCTTCTTCCTAGAGTTGCCTTAGGCTGGAGGTGCAATAGCTCATTTTTTTATCCCAGAATTATCTGCATGACAGTTTTTGATGGTTCCAGAGCTTTGTCTCAAGCTTCGCTTAGTTCAATTCAAATTCCTGGAGCACCAATGCTGATGTGCATAGATTTTAAATCAATAAAGAAAAATTACCTTTACTCCATTTTTTTGTACCGTATGAAATCAGTGACTGCCATATTCTCTAGTTCATACCAGAAGACCTCTCTTCCTTTTCATGATTCATTCAGTCAAGGACTACTTAAACAACTTGAAGAGCTGCTTCTCTTAAAAGATCTCTCCACTTGAGGGTTTTCCTGAGTAGCAAGTATGGATCCTAACTTTCTTGGGTATGTTCTTTTAGCCAATAAGCCATCTAATTTCATGAAATTTTATGTCACATTTGTAAATTTACGGTTTAGAAGATATCAAATGTAGTAGAAATTATGCAGTAATACTCACGAACATATGAGTTGTATAATTACATTTAAATATATGGATTTATAGAATACCTCAAGGTAATGAATTTAAAATACCCAGATAACAAAGTGAATTCTAAATGCATCCTTCTATACTCCCTCAAATATAATGACTACACATCCTCAAAAAATTGACAACCAAATCAAACTTAAATTCATTATCTCAAATACTCGTTTCGAAATGTTAGAGTAGTATGTCTATGCTTTTTGTTGGTTCACTCTGCAACCATATGCTGTGTTTTGTATCATTAGGCTCACAACTAGTCCCCGATAGTGTCTCATCAGTAGCTGTTTATTTTCTCTTTTTAAAATATTAATAACTAAGAAAACTGTATTTCATCTCTCTTAACAGATATTCAAATCAATATGTTCCTTTTTTGGTTCTTCACTAACGAACGTACAGGGCACAGCAGATCAACTGCAGCTATCTTGTGCCACTTATTTCTATCATTAAAATTTGTGAGGGTCCTTTTTAAAAGGGCTTATTGTTCTAGTATTGAAAAAGCCATAGCAAACTAGGTTTTAAGCCATTAGTACACAGTTTAACAATTAATTAGAAGAAATTTGTTAACTTGCACCAATGGCTTTTGTGGTTGATCTAATGAAGTCATTGCACAACTAAGGCTAACATTAATAGCTTTTCTACTTAGTGTCTTTTGCTTTCTGGGATACAAAGTTAGACCCTGCAACTTTGACTATCCAATTGCGTGGCTTCCTGTTTCCAGGCTCATCAGTTAATATTTAAGAATGCCTCACACTTTGCATCCTGTGTTCTGAAATTCTATTGCAATTTTAGTTGATATTTTTCATTTAGTTGAATATGTGGTTTTTCCTCTTATTTGACAATCTTTTGAATCCAATCCTTCTTATGCTTAACTGTTTAACTATTAAAATGTGTAGTGAGTTTTTTTTTTGATTTTTGTGTAGGAGATTATTTGTACGGGTTTTGTTCTCTTTCTTCAAAGATATTAGGTTAATTTGCACGAGCTAAGATTAACAAACAGTCGCTAAAAATTTTTAATATTTGCTTTTCTCTTTCTGGAGTAGAAATTTTTGTTAATATCATTACTTTGATTTGCTTTTCTTGATGAGGAATAGCTTGTGTATTTGGTATAGGGGATGGTATATGGAAGAGTATGAAAATAAAGTACAGGTAGATTTAAATATCGGTTAGAACGGGAAAAAAGCACTTAAACTATGATTGATGCATTCGTGATAAAGATAATGGATTTATGTTGTGTAAAATTTTGTAGAGGAGAAGCTTCTCTATGGCACTTTGGCCTACAAATTCATCTCCAATTATTGGGTTATGCTACCTTGTTAATATTGGAAGTATGAATCTTTTATGGGCCCTAGTAGAGAGACTACTTAAGTTGGTTGATGATTTGATTTTCAAACTATAATGTACAATAAAAAATAGTTTTCTCATTTAATTTTGATTACTCAATTCTTCTTAATTCTGCGTTTGGAACCTTCAAAATATATTTTCTTCAAGCATGCAAAAAGTAGCATATTCTGTTATACAAGATTTTGCCAAATTTGTATAAGTTGAAAAGTCCTTAATTCAAAGTAAACTAATATTATTTCTGGAGAAGGGGATGTGACATTAGCAACTGTTGTAGAACCTTTAATCTGTGTAGTATTGGATAGTTGAATCAAATTAAAAAAGTGTTATTTAGTCACTTATTTGAGGCATTGCTTGCGCTACTAGCTTCAAATGCTTTTGCCTTCTGTTAATTTTTCTGGCAATCTATTGATCTGTATGGTAGTGTACCATCTCTGAATATCAGGTTTTTGGGTACTCCTGCACCTTCAAGTTTAGGCAGTTCGTTTCTTTCCTCATCGCCTCTTGGGCATCTCTACTACCAACAGTAGATGATCAAATGTAGCCTCAAAGACATGGTTCGCACTCTCTGTTACATCTGATCCATCAAGGAGACAATCTGTAAGAGTAAATGAGAAAACATCTAAGGTCTTCCATGAACATCCAGAGCTCATATGAGCAAGCTGTGTTAAATGGTTAGTTTGCATAACTTTGGTCCATCCCTCGAATTTTATCTATCATCTGGTTACATAATAAGTTATTATATTTAATCTGTCTTACAAAATTTGTAGGCATGGCAACTCTGACCCACTCATAAATCCTTCCAAAATGATGTCTTTCATTTGGGCTTGGCTTTAGCAAATATTGATGCTTCCACTAGTTTGAGAAAATTAATATCATAATGCAAGGATTGACTTGTGCATTTTAAATTTTAGATGTAATTAGATCTACAACGGATGTTTAATTTGTGGAAATATTTTTACAGCCTTCCATCTCCTTACTTCTGAGTATTGGTTGCAAATCCTAATTGATGATTTCCATCCAAATGAAATTGCTCATGCATGAGCTGCCATAGCCTGGAGCTACAAGAGCTCATTTTTCTGTACCAGAATTATTTGAAGGTAAGTTTTTTATGGTTCGACAGCTTTGCATCAAGCTCCACTTCATATGAAATTTGGATTTCTTGGTGCAGGGGTGGCAACAATGTGCACAGCTTTCAAATCAATGAAGAAAAACTTATTTCTTTCCTCTCTCCTTTATTGTATGAAATCAGTGACTACCATATTCTCTAGTCTATACCAGCAACACTGTCTTCCTTTCCTTGATTCGTTCAGTTCAAGGACTACTCAAAACAATTCGGACAGCTGCTCCTCTGGAAACATCTCCCAATTTGAGGTTTTTCCTTGGTGCTAATTT